GAAAGGCAATGAAATCAATCCAGATGCGAGAGCCGCCTCTAATGCATGTTCTAGACCTATATTCTTATATCTTAAAATGTAATTTACATAAAAATATTAGACTATCAGCACTAAATTTGGATTTAGGATCATGTGCAGATTAAACGTGTTCTTTACATTAATTAAGAATCATCAAACCAGTGCATAAGTAAACAAGATCCTCTCAGCTGTTGAGTGGACAGTGAACCTCTGGCCTGATCTGATGAAGGTTTACATGAGCGCAAGACAGCATTCTGCACACTTACATCCTGAACAACTCTAATAAATCAAGATAGATACATCATTCTAGAGTTCAAAGCAAGACGCAGACCTGAGGAACAGCAGGTCAACAACAACATGCTAAAGATTTATTTTTTACATACCTTCCAACAGGGATTCTGATCATCCGTCTTTATGAAGTTTTCTCCTCCAGTGATTCTGGTCCTTCAGCTGTGCTGAGCATCACTTTGTTTGTGGATCGTCTCTTTCCAGGGTGGAGATTCACACCATGACAACCAAAGTCCCAGGATCATTGAGCTCTCACACACGCCACGACGACTGCACATGAACGACCAGCACAAAAACAGAGACTAGAGGACTGTAGAATATACACACACACACATATATATATATACAGGTCCTTCTAAAAAAATGAGCATATTGTGATAAAGTTCATTATTTTCCATAATGTAATGATAAAAATTAAACTTTCATATTTTTTAGATTCATTGCACACCAACTGAAATATTTCAGGTCTTTTATCGTTTTAATACTGATGATTTTGGCATACAGCTCATGAAAACCCCAAATTCCTGTCTAAAAAAATTAGCATATCATGAAAAGGGTCTCTAAACAAGCTATTAACCTAATCATCTGAATCAACTAATTAACTCTAAACACCTGCAAAAGATTCCTGAGGCTTTTAAAAACTCCCAGCCTGTTTCATTACTCAAAACCGCAATCATGGGTAAGACTGCCGACCTGACTGCTGTCCAGAAGGCCATCATTGACACCCTCAAGCAAGAGGGTAAGACACAGAAAGAAATTTCTGAACAAATAGGCTGTTCCCAGAGTGCTGTATCAAGGCACCTCAGTGGGAAGTCTGTGGGAAGGAAAAAGTGTGGCAAAAAACGCTGCACAACGAGAAGAGGTGACCGGACCCTGAGGAAGATTGTGGAGAAGGACCGATTCCAGAGCTTGGGGGACCTGAGGAAGCAGTGGACTGAGTCTGGAGTAGAAACATCCAGAGCCACCGTGCACAGGCGTGTGCAGGACATGGGCTACAGGTGCCGCATTCCCCAGGTCAAGCCACTTTTGAACCAGAAACAGCGGCAGAAGCGCCTGACCTGGGCTACAGAGAAGCAGCACTGGACTGTTGCTCAGTTTTGCATGTCATTCGGAAATCAAGGTGCCAGAGTCTGGAGGAAGACTGGGGAGAAGGAAATGCCAAAATGCCTGAAGTCCAGTGTCAAGTACCCACAGTCAGTGATGGTCTGGGGTGCCATGTCAGCTGCTGGTGTTGGTCCACTGTGTTTTATCAAGGGCAGGGTCAATGCAGCTAGCTATCAGGAGATTTTGGAGCACTTCATGCTTCCATCTGCTGAAAAGCTTTATGGAGATGAAGATTTCATTTTTCAGCACGACCTGGCACCTGCTCACAGTGCCAAAACCACTGGTAAATGGTTTACTGACCATGGTATTACTGTGCTCAATTGGCCTGCCAACTCTCCTGACCTGAACCCCATAGAGAATATGTGGGATATTGTGAAGAGAAAGTTGAGAGACGCAAGACCCAACACTCTGGATGAGCTTAAGGCCGCTATCGAAGCATCCTGGGCCTCCATAACACCTCAGCAGTGCCACAGGCTGATTGCCTCCATGCCACGCCACATTGAAGCAGTCATTTCTGCAAAAGGATTCCCGACCAAGTATTGACTATTGAGTGCATAACTGAACATAATTATTTGAAGGTTGACTTTTTTATTTTTTGTATTAAAAACACTTCTTTTATTGGTCGGATGAAATATGCTAATTTTTGAGACATGAATTTTGGGTTTTCATGAGCTGTATGCCAAAATCATCAGTATAAAAACAATAAAAGACCTGAAATATTTCAGTTGGTGTGCAATGAATCTAAAATATATGAAAGTTTAATTTTTATCATTACATTATGGAAAATAATGAACTTTATCACAATATGCAAATTTTTTTAGAAGGACCTTTATATATATATACACACACACACACACACACACACACGCATACATTCCTTCATGCAAATAATTAGCCTTTACAGGACAAAAAAAAACAAATCTCATTTGAGAGTTCAAATAACCATTTATACAGAAAGGAGGCAAACTGTACAAAATGTGTGTTTTAGCATGACCATCAAAAACGTTCACACAAACTGGAAACCTCAGGATCGTTTCTGACTTTGGCAAAAAGCAACAGAAAATATTCTGTAGCATGGGACATGTACATCAAAGAAAAGAATTCAAAATTATTCTACAAGGAATATAGTTAAACTATAATTTCATCATATTTATTACCGACAACCAGAACAAACTGTGTTTAAGCTACTGAACAAACACAGAAGACCCATCAACCCCTGTGAGAGGCAAAGAGGACCTTACTTCACAATGACTATAAGCCATAAAATGTCTGGCCTGTGGGCCAGACGCTCGCTTTCAGAAACACGTCTGAGGGGAAATTAAAAAACAGGCAACAAAAACATTTATGTACAATAGAAAAATTAAAAATTGTTCTGAAAATTCTGTTGCATATAAACACTTCATAATAAATCAAATTTGCATTTGGCACATACAAACTAGAATTATATATTAAAAAAAACCTTTTACAAATCTTATTTTTTCTATGGCTGTAGTTTGTGCTCAAAAAATAGTCTAGAATGTTACACCATACACACACACAAAAAATGCACTCACATTCAAATAAATAAAGACCCAACAGATGTTTTACCCTCACAAATATTGTCCATGTCATATTTTGCATAAACAATTAAATCTATTCTTAAAAACATTAAGATGAAATATGAACCAGACATTTCTTAAGTGTTGTTCTTGAGATTCACCCAAAACTGATTGTGTAGTATCACACACTTCCCTACTATAGCAGGCGAAAAACAGCATGTGACAAAAGTAGTATGTCTGGATTCACAGGACTCATAAAAGAGGAGAGGAAAAGTCCCTGGATGACCTAATTCGTGTGTTGAGATTCTGAAGTGAGCGAACGATGGACACTTTACTATCCCATGAGGCCACAGGACAGGATCTGTGAATGACAGTGAAGTGACACAAGGTCACATGATAATAACATGGCGAATGTAGTACGTCTGGATTACATTCATACTATATAGAACACACTTTATTAGCAGTCGTGAAGTAATTACTTATTCAAAATAAGCACCTACTCGAGACGCAGCCTTTGTGTTTTAGGTCTGATTCTGAAACTTAGTTATGCGTGAATATTTAAAGGGATACTCCAATTTTTTTGGAAATAGGCTCATTTTACAACTCCCCCAGAGTTAAACTGTTGAGTTTTACCGTTTTTGAATCCATTCAGCCGATCTCCGGTTCTGGCGGTACCACTTTTAGCATAGCTTAGCATACATCATTGAAGTGGACAAGACCATTAGCATTTCTCAAAAAAAAATGACCAAAGAAACTTTACTGCCGTACCATGAATGCAGCAGGCGCAGGCACTTAGTACCGGTCACGCTTTTTACAGTCTATGTGGTCACGCTGGAAGTTACTGAGCTGGGGACTATTTTCAGGTGCTGCGTCATATCATTACACCTGCTGCACTCATGGTACGGCAGTGAAGTTTCTTGATTACTACGCAGGAATGAGAGTATAGTTCCTAGCCATATCAGCCTAAAAAATCACAACTTTACATTTTCCGTCGGTCTTAGTGCACGATGTAACTACAGAAGAGTCAAGTTTTAAATAGGAAAAATATCGAAACACTTTGGTCTTTTTTGGAGAAATGCTAATGGTCTTGTCCACTTCAATGATGTATGCTAAGCTATGCTAAAAGTGGTACCGCCAGAACCGGAGATCGGCTGAATGGATTAAAAACGGTAAAACTCAACAGTTTAACTCTGGGGGAGTTGTAAAATGAGCCTATTTCCAAAAAAAGTGGAGTATCCCTTTAATGGTTCAAAAGCTCTTTTTAACACAATGCAGCTTTTTACATATAGTAACGTACAGACCCTCTTAAATAACGACAACGCAGAACACATCAGGGAAGATCATCATTAAGATTCTTCATTATTAACCATCATGGTTGATGACCTTTGACCCTGGCTGTCCTCTTAAGATGCCATTGTGTTTTGATTCATAACAGTGTTAATTCACAAAAAGCACCTTTGGAATATTTAACAAACATCATTTTGGAATTTCTGGGAATGATTATATTCTTGTTTTGAACTATTTATGTCACCTCTGCGGATTTAATTCATACATTCACGGAGACGAAGCGCTGATGCTCCTTCAGTACCATAGAGTTCAAACAACACTTATGGGTCACACCATCATAAAACACCTTTATACAAAACTCATAAGATCACTAAACCAGCAGGACCATCAGTAACCAAATATCTGGAGCGTTGTAAATAGTTTTTCATCGTTGTTTAACGTTCAGCAAACGCATGTACGGCTCAGCAGTACCATTATTAAACGTCTAATTAAAGCGAAAAAAGAAAAGTCGTTATTCCGGGTGCCCATAACCAACGTTTTCATATGTAACATGTTTAAACCGGGAAGTAGGAAGGCCAAATGTTCACATACAGTAGCTAGTGTATGACTTCAGAAGACTGTATATAACACAAGTTATATGCATTTGAATCAAATCTGTTTTGGAGCAACTTACACAACTGGCTAGAAAACTCCAGATGGTGAAAGATGAACGCATGAAGCTGATGAAAATGTTATTTTTGGGGTGAGCTAACTCTTTAAAGTCAGTTATTTTTGTGCCCATCTGTATGTATGTACACATAAAAATGATTGTTACCAAGAGCAAAGTACAAATAAAAAGATCTTGATTGAAATAGATCCTTCGGAGATGTTTGTAAACTCTAATGAAGGCCGTGCTGTAGTTTCTTCCCTCTCACTTTCTCATAATACACTTGATTGGACACTTTCAATGTGGCCGTTTGGCGAATGGGAAAGATGGTTTCCCTCGAGCAGGGGGTGTAAGGTGTCGAGAGGGGTCAGGTCTGTGTCTGTAGTGGCACACGGCTCGTATCTCGCCTCAGTGTCAGCGGGAGACTGGCCCAACCGGTCCAGGAGGAGGGAATGAAGGTATCCGATAGGAACAGGAAGGAACGCAACAATGATGAGTGTGCTCAGGACAGCAAGCGCCCAGCCAGGATAAGGGAGATCTTCCTTAGATGCCTGAGAGGAAATGTAGGACAAAAGCAATGTTACCCATGTAAAGCCTCACATATGACAGTCCAAAAAAAAAAACTTTTTTTTTTTTTTTAAAGGAGCCATTAATTGAACTTCTAGCAAAACCTAAAAACATATTTGCATGTGTGATTTTTCTTAAGTATCATATTTGATACTTCAGGCTTTTATGGCTCATATAATGAGAATATGGAGCTCAAACACGAAGAAAAAGCCTTGATTCAGAGGATCAAACAGAGCAAAGATATGCAATTTGGTGCAGATGCTGATATTTATATGGCTAAAAAGGAAAGTAAAATTCTGATGAAATTAGACTACTTGCATAAAATGCACATAAATATCAGTCATCACTTTATATCTGGTAATAATGTCTTAGTAAGATGATATTTAAAGCTGCTGTCCGTAGCTTTTTTTGGGTTAAAAATTATCCAAAATACATATTTGATAAAATACATAACCAGCCAGTGTTCAAAACTATCTGCTTGCCTTAGCTCGATGCAAAACGGTAAGCTTGTAATAATGTTTTTAATTTTAGTGGTACTGGTGGATTTCCGCGGGAGATTCGAGCATGTCTTTGCCGTGTCGAGGGTGTTGAACTACAACCCACGTAAAGTTGATAATTCCGCGAATGACTGCAATTGCAGATTTCGAACAGAGATGGCGACAAAGAGGAAAAATGCCGGACTGCAGCTTTAAATGCTCTTTTTTTTATCAAAGCTCCGTTTTTTTTTAAACCTTTAATGCAATGCAATACAGTGACGATTGAGAGATGAACAAATAAATACTTTATTTTTTTTATTTATGTGTACATATGCGAGTATGGGTGTAGGTGTGCATATGTATATTATGTATGTATACATGCATGTATAGACATATGTGTATGTAAGGGCTAAATGTTGTCATGCATCTTAATACTGCAATGTTTTATATATGGATTTGTTTCCAATAAGGCGTTGGTGGGCCGGGCGAGGCGGGATGAGGTAGAGCAGGGGTCTCCAACACGTCGCTCGCGAGCTACCAGTAGCTCGTGGCCTGATTGGAAGTAGCTCGCCAAGGGGCCGTTCACATATCGCGTCTTTTGCGCGCTCAAGTTCATTATTTCAAATGTAGGCGCTTAGGCAAGCGCGCTCATAATTTAAGCGATGCGCTCATTTTTTTCAGGCGCAGCGAGATGAAAACGCCTCAACTTTTCAGAATGCCGTGAGCACACCGCAGGTCATGTGACAAGATCCAACCAATCAGCTTCACCCTTTCCGTAACAACATTGAAAGCTCAGTCAACATGAAGGATGGGGGTGCACCCAAACACTGCGGGTGTTTTTCTCTTCTCCGTAAATAAATCTTGTAGTAGAGCTACAGCAAGCGTTTTTCGGTGGTGGAAATCCATTAGCTACTAAAACTTCTTTGTCGTTGTGGAGAGCATACGGTTGCATAGCAACGACAGACGCCATGGGAAAATCGGACCGAATTTTACTATTAATAATAAAAGATAAGCTAATGTGCAATGTAAATGTCAGTAATTTATCTTTTTTGACTCATTCTTTTTATAAAAATGATTTAAAGGCTGAAATATGTGAGGTTTATCTTTTTATAAAACCTTTTTTGTCAAAACTTTATTTGAACTTGCACGTTAGTAGAGAACATGTTGCAAGACACTCCTTTAAAATCTGGCCATCATTTTTAATGTTATTATTTTAATGTTTATTTAAACTATTTTTTTGTTATTTGCTGGTTTTCGACATATAACTTGGTGAATTGATTTTATTTAGTAGTATTTTTTTAACAGGATTCTGTGATAACCGTGATCATTTTGGTCACTATAATCATGAAAGGAAATTTGCCATTTCCTCTATGTGATTACAGTATAATATGCAAAGTACAATTTTCTATAAAAAAAATTAATCTCTGACTCTGTTCTTTTCTCTGACATTTAAGGGTGACATATATAGGCCTACAAAAACTCTTTTAGGTCTAAAACAGTTTGGATCGCTGTTAATATGAGTTATGAGACATTATTTAAGAGATTTAAGTATTGTATTACATGAGTAGCTCTCGGCCACTTTCATTTTTAAAAAGTAGCTCTCAAATGAAAAAAGGTTGGAGACCCCTGAGGTAGACTTAGACTTAGACTTAACTTTATTTGTCATTCTCACAACACGGATGAGGGGAACGAAATAAGAACTCAGGTCTCGGTGTTGACCAACTACTTCAATAATTAATACAAATCTTAAGAAACTTCCATAAAAACATTTAAAACATAAATAAAATGCAATACTATTTCTTAAAAAGACAAAGGCATGGCAGTGTGGAGGAGTTCATTAGTCTGACCGCATCTGGGTAGAGCTTTAAGGTAGAGCTTTAATGAGAGTGAATGTATATGTGCTGTATTATCTTTCTTTGTCTCGAGGTTTCATCTCAAGGGGTTATCCTCAACAATAAATTCAATACTAAACCTTCCTCAAAAGCTTGATGATCATATTTGACTCACATTTGAATGTAATTTAAAAAAAAAATTATGTATGGATAATCAAGTAATTAAAGTTGCCGTGCCTGACTTTTTTCTCGTAAAATTGCAATTCTGACTTTTATCTCAGAATTGCGTGATATAAAGTCGTAATTGTGTGTTATAAAATCAGAATTGCGAGATGTAAACTCGCAATTGTGAGATAAAAAGTCACAATTATCCTATAAAATGAAATAAGGAAATACGGAAACAAGCTTCCATATACCAGTAAGTCTTCAACACTATAAAAGTTGCTCTTATGTTTACTTCATAAAAATCAGTGCAGATTTCACAGCAAAAAGACACGTGAAACACGAGCTAAAGGTGGACGTATTTACAATTATACTAAAAGATTCTTTACTTGCTAAAAAAGAATAAACTATCAATCAGACGACAGGATTTTCAATGAAGTTTTGATCATGTTAATAATCTATAGGTCTTAGAAAGTAGCATATATAAATATGAAACAGTAGCTTTATAGGGTTAAAGATTAAAGTAATGGTTTACTTATGATCTGACCTTTTCTCTATTCCAGGCGGTGTATGTAGGGCGATTCAGGATCATCTTTAGCAGACTGGCACCCAAGAGTCCCAGCATAGCAACTGGACACACGTACTTCCACAGGTACTTGTACACCACAGGGACCGGCCGATTCAACATCTGTCTCAGGTCCTCTAAAAACCTGCAATAAAAATACATCTTGTACATGCATTCAAGCAGATAACGAAACACTTGTACTCGAGCACTGAGAGTCTGCGGTACCTGTCGGCTCCGTAAACCCAGGCCACGCTGAAGGTCTGAAAGATGACAACGATGATGAGCGGGAGTGTGGCGGAGTAATCATCAAACATTGCCACAAAGTAGTTCCCACAGCGCTGAGTGAACATTAGACCGATCAGAAAGCCCAACGCACAGCTGCACACTGACAGAGAGAGAAAAACACAACACAAAGATTAAACACACCACTCATATTCAACCTACGGCAATACTGAACTTAAACCCAAATATAGGAAACGTACATCAAATATAAACACAAGAACAACAGAACAATTCACTTCCATGTTTAATGGAAGTCAAAACGGTGTGTTACCTGTGAAGATGAGTTTGTGATTGCGTAGTGTCTTAAAGGTGTCTGTTAGCGGCGTCAGTATTCCGGCCATGGTGCCGAACATAGTGGACAATCCCAGATTGAGCAGCATGAGGAAGAACAGCACCGACCAGAACGGACTCCAGGGAAACAACGTCATGGCTTCTGTGAACGCTATGAACGCTAAACCCGTTCCCTCAACACCCTGAGAGAGAGAAACAAGATCATCACCTTAAATGATAGTCACTTTAGAAATGGTGGATAACTAGAGAAATAGCCTTTTAAGATTTTATTCATCTCCATTACTTCTTTAGATCTAGAGATCATATTCTTGATGCCCCCTACCATAGAAACCACCCAGAACATTCTAGCAATGCCCTAGCAACCACCCAGAAGATTCCAGCACTGCTCTAGCAACCTGCAAAACATTCCAACATTGCCGTAGAAACCACCCCAAACATTCCAGCATTGCCCTAGCAACCACCAAGAACATTCCATTAATGCAAATGTATTGCGAGTTTTGCATTACTTGCATTTTCATCAGAAAATGTCATTCTATATAATGTATATTTTGCGTACTTGTTTCAGTTCTTCCTCCAGGCTGCAGGCGGTGATGTTGTAATCGGGGATCTTCAGATGCTGGCCCTCACTCCTGTACCAGTGTTCATACTCATTCAGTGTGAGGTTCTCCACATTTGAAGCATTTATGGCCTTCAGATTACTGCAACAAACACAACCATTCATCTGAGCATCTTAAAGATTCAGTCAAATATATTAAAAGTAGTGCTGTCAAACGATTAAAATATTTAATCGCGATTAATCGCATTAATGTCAGTTAACTCGCGATTAATCGCACATTTTTATCTATTCTAGATGTCTCTTGATTTCTTTTTGTCCCATTATTTTTCCCCATTTTAATGCTCTTATCAACATGGAAAAGTGGATCGGCTTGCTTTCTGCAAATGTTTTTTATAGAAAACAGCATTGGCATATACTGTGTTCAATTTCACACTAACATTCTCACTTGGAGCAAATAATCTCTCACACAATGTAACACTGTCCATCAATAAAAGGGTGAAAGAAATACTGACGAGGTCCTGATATTGACGAGGGGGCGGAGGATTCGCATCAGCTGTGTGTGTGTGTGTGTGTGTGTGTGTGCTTGGCCATCAAGTGGTGTTTCAGACTGGACGAGCTGCGATGATGATAGCTCAGTTCACAACGACAAAACACACAGATCACTTTGGTCTCGTCAATGGAACCATTTGGCAACTTTTTAAAAGTAAACTTTCCATTCAGAATCTTATTGGCATCCATTTCGGCGTCTCGCGCTCGTCATCCACTCAAAATGTAACATTAACCTACTATTAGGCCGGCTCGCAAGCCCAAACAAGTGTGTGCGGCGTGCCTGTTGTTTTGTTTACGGTCTAGCTAGATCCGCTTGAACTCTTAAAACGTCTTCGGACGGCGCAAGCCATTGAAATGAATGGGTTTCATAGCGCAGCGCCGCGTCCTGTTGCAAAAGCATCTGAAAAAAACTACAAAGTTTGCTAGGCCAAAAAGACCGTTAATCGCGCGATAAAAAAATGAACGCCGTTAATAACTGACAGCCCTAATTAAAAGCATTCAATAAATTTCACCATCGTTAAAGGTACATAACCATTTTATTGCTTTGTAGCAACATTACACGTTAGTCATTTTATAAGACCTATTTGCAAAGCTATAATTTATTAAAATACAGTATGTTTGAGGATCAAACAATCCCAAATCATTTGTGTGTAACTTGCATACTGACCGTTTGACACAGTTAGTGGCGATGGTTTTGGCTCTGAAGCCCAGCACAGCAAACACCACCAGCGAGGCCAGCACAGACGTCAGGAAGTTGACGGCAGACACGGTGAACGCGTCGCGATGGCAGTTGTTGTTCCGCGGGTTGTAGGAAGAGTAGGCGATCACAGAACCGAAACCCAAACCCAGAGCGAAGAAGACCTGAGTCGCCGCCTGGCGCCACACCTGAACATCAGCCCAGATCTCCAGCTGAGAGAAACACCACAGCAGAAGTGGCTTTAAACTCACTCAGGGAAACTGATTGTGAACTGCTTCCAAGTTACACGATCAAAATAATAATATTTTTAAAAAGAGATCCATTTTAATTAGTTTTGTCAAACTTTTGGTAATTGAAATGAAATAAAATATAAATATTTAATGAAAAATTTAAGTCTTAGCAATTAAAAAGAAAAAGAAAAGAAAAAAAGTGTAAAATAAAGTACTAAACCTACAGAACAAAAAAAATAATATTATATATATATATATATATATAATAGAAATGACAAAAGCACAGAAAGTTACTAAAACCAAACGAAAACGAAAACTGAAAATATACAAAAAAGCAATTTAAAATATTAATAAATACTATATTGGTAGATAAATAATTCTAAAGCAATACTGATTTAAATTAATAACATAACAAAACAGAGAGAAGACACTTCTTATGGACTAGGGATGTCGCCGTACCAAAATTCCAGTAGTCGGTACCGATACCATTAAAATTTTACGGTTCTCTGTACCAATTTCGTTACCACAGCAAAATCAGTTTGAACAATTTTTCCAATTTATTTAACTATTTGAAAAAAAAATATTAAATTGATTTCAATTACTTTATTATTTATGACGATACATTTATGAAAGCATTGAAGGCTACATATTGTTTAAATAAAAAATATTGATGATATTGAGAAATATTGCTTGTAAAAAAATCAAGTGAAAATAAGCAACCTTCTATGCACACATTATTATTATTAGTAGTAGTAGTATTTTTAATTAATGGAGACGTAGTTAAAGGAGCTGTATGTAAGATTGTGGCCAAAACTGGTACTGCAATCACTGTCAAATTACTGTAGAGCGGTGTATCCCCTCCCCCTCCTCCCTGACTCGAGGTTGCCAGATAGGCTGCAGGATCCCGCAGGAACGTGACGAGCTGCAGCTGTGGTAACTAGAGCAGAGCTGGCAACCCGGATGCCGCAACACTACTGACTTCGTGATTGGTAGATAGGTGGAGGGTGGAGCATCAGACCAAAACACAACATGACAACATCAACATCAGTTGAGGGCTGCAACTGCACTTTTTAAATGACAATATGCTGGCCGGACAACTGTTGTCAGTGATATAAGTATTTGAAATGTACATAATTTCTTAATGTTTAGATACATATCAGGGCCATTTTATGATGAATTGAAATACATTTCTTACATACAGCTCCTTTAAATCTATTGTACAGTAGCCTACTATAAGTAGCCTATTTCTGTCAAACTTTTATTTTGACAGGTTGCCGTGAAGACCTTTGAGTTTCTGTGTGTATATGATATGACGATAGTTTTTCTCAAATTAAACGGTAAAATGCTCATGAAGTGACTCTCGGAGATGAATTGAATCATGAATCATGCCATCATATCGTGAGGCAGCAGACTGAAAACAGCGCGAGCGTCACTCGTGCTTCAGTGTGTGTGTGTGTGTGTATGTGTGTAACGTTAAATGAAACCGCGGGTCTGCGCCGTTCATTCACACAGAGACAAGCAGATTGTCTCAGCGCGCCGCTTTCATGAAGAGGACGCAACTTCACGCCCATCGTGCATGCATGCGTATCCAGAACCGGGTTTCCCCGGGTATTCGGTACCACCGGAACTTGGTACCGTGACGTTTAATTTTTTTTAGTACCGACTTGGTACCGAAGTACCGAATATTTTGACAACACTATTATGGACTATGGTGTCTAATCAATAAATCCTGCCCATATTCTGGAGCTCAACTCAACATCTACGTACTCTGGGGTAAAACATGAATTTGATGCCCTCAGACGCTCCGTCCAGCGTCACGCCTCTGATCAGGAAACACAGCAGCACCACGTACGGAAACACCGAGGAGAAATACATCACCTGCACACATCAATATCACCACATAATCAAATTACAACACACAATAAACACAAAGAAAGTTTGATTTAAGCAGCTTGCAATTTTTTTAATTATTGCATTTTTTAAATCAAACTTTTTTTGCATTTAAAAAAATAATTTCATAGAAAATATTTTTTTTAATTACAAAAATTGCATTTTAAATCAAACTTTCTTTTTTATTATTTTTCATAGAAATAGTAAAAACTTTTTTTTTTATTATAATTATCTCTTAAATACTTATTGCATGTTTTTTTTTTAATCAAACTTTTAAATAATTACTTTGCATATAAACAGTACCTTTTATAACACTAATGTTACACTCACTCACAGTACCTTGCCGGTAGATTTGATGCCCTTGTACATGCCCAGACAAACGATGAACCAAGCGGCCAGCAAACATCCAGTGATGATGAAGTTGAACTCTCCCGTTTCATTAATGGAGTCGGTGATGTCCAGAGCTTTACGGTACCAGAAATACGACGTGGGAGAGCTGGCGGCACATTCCTTCACTGGGTATAAACAACAAATACATATCCATTTTCTTTTTTTAAAGTCACATTTCTGGCATTAGTTCCTCATATTTAATCTCTCAATCTCAAGTGAGAATTGCTAAAATTGTATCTTGCATAACAAGCCACGTTTCCATCACAGATATTTTCTAAATTTCGATTAAAAACTATTGTGAAATGACGGTGTTTCCATTCACCGATGTTATGCGGCTAAAACGCGATAAGTCATGGCAAAGGATGTTGGTAGGTTCACATATATTCCAGCCACCGCACTAGCATTATTTTTAATGGAAGGAGATATAGGCGTGTTATCCAAGCATTAATGGCAAGGAAAGCCCTTTATACTTGGTGTTTCTCTCTCATATCTGCTTCAAGGTCTTGATAAATTGCAGCATTTCATTGTTGTTCAGAATACAGTTTTCCTGTGACACTTTGTCTTTTATGAGTTTAAAGGCACACTATGCAGGAATTCCGTTTTTGTCAAACAGCGACCCCTAGAGTCGCTGTGGAGTACTTGTATGTAACGTTACTGTCGTAAATACCACTCACGCAGAGCGTCTCTGCACTCACAGCCTGATACCCCTTTGAAGCTGTTATATTAAGGTACAAATCTTGCATAGTGTGCATTTTTTGCATTAAATAAGAGATCTAGCGCTAAAATGTTTTTGAACTCAAGCTGAGGAGCGCTCGCATCCGCTGCTATCAGTGTCATGGATACATAGTGTCTTATGTGGCGGCGCGCGCGCAGTCTTCACTCGGACGTGCTCTTCAATCTATCGCCATTGCAGAGACTCTCTATTCATTCCGGTGAAATCACAAAATAAAATTCACAAAAACGTGTCCCTGCTTGATATAGACTGTAACCACTGATGAACATATTCAGTTTTGATGAGAGAGAAAAAACTTAGAACCTGTGCCCTCTGACACGCTTGGCAAAAGATCTACCACTAGACCATTAAAGGACTCAAACAAAACTTGCGGATTGATGCATTTATTTACGGGTTGAGCAGAGAGGCTCATTCTGTTTTCTTTTTCCTAGTCTCTTCCGACCGCGTTTTCTTTCCTTTTTCCATCGTCGAGTATCACGTCTGAAATGCGCGCAAGTGTCTTCATGCTTCATGTTGTGGTTGATGTGTGTGACGTCGTTGCCGTAAAGCATGTCGTGATTCTCGCGAGATTTGTCGGGGGAACTCCTCTCAAACTTTTATTGCTGTTTTTTCCAGCGATGTCCCCCCCCCCCCCCGAAGCAATACTACCAGGATGATTCGCCCTACTATGAGTTTGTTTACCACCGAAATGACTTTGAAGCTGTTATCAGGCATGTGATTGGCTAAGGACAAAAAAGCAGGAAAATATACCGATAAATATTCCGCAAAGTGAGAGCAAATGTTCAGTCAAAGTCAAAGCTAAATATAGTCTTCACTGTATAAATTATACATTGATTCTTATTAAAGCTACTATTAAAGTTCTCAGTCAAGAGCAGTGAGTGATTTCCTCTGTGTTTTGTTTTTTTATTAACATTAAATAGATAGTTCTCCCAAAAATTTTAATTGTCATCATTTACTCTCTCAAGTTGTTTTAAACCTGAATAAGTTTCTTTCTTCTGTTGAAGTTATTTGGAAGAATGAGGGTAACCAAACAGTTGATGTACCCCAGTGATTTCCATAGTATATTTTTCCCTATGGAAGTCAATGGGGACCAGCAACTGTCTGGTTACCCACATTCTTCAAAATATCTTCTTTTGTGTTCAGCACAAGAAATAAATTAATACAGCTTTGGAACAACATTACAGTGAATAAATAATGACAGAATTTTTATTTTTGGGTCAACTATCCCTTTAAGGACAAGCGGCAGCATGTTTATTATTAGGGCTACTGTCTCTTTAAGACCTGTACGCGACGCGTCTAATATACACGCGCATTTGACAAGCAGATTTCTCTCAATTTTCTCGGTTTGCTTTCAGTTTAGACATAACCAACTTTCCTTATGTAAACCTTGTGTGTATTTGAGAGTATTAGCGAAATAAAACTCGAAAGATAACTTAGTCCAGTAACCAGGTGCTGTTAGACAGGCTTTTAGTGCATGTGCGCGCTCAGTAAAGCGCATGTTAGAACAGCGCATCAGCAGTGAATGACATGTTTAACCGGCAAGGCTTTAAAGCACATGCAAATAATGAACTTTTGTGAACTCACTGAACTGATGTGGCCGTTCCTCTGCGTTAACATTTGATATGAGTATTTGTCGCGTTGTACACTAATGCTGTTGAGACGGGGGCGCCAGAACTGCAACTGATAGAATGCACGATATACATATTTCTACAAAAGCAGTCAGCAGCTTGCTTGGAGCAAAGATCATAGCGCAAATTTGAACTATATCGATATATCGCCCAGCCCTACTGGTGGCCTAACGGCGATGTTCTTGTCAACTGACAACGATACCACTGTAGCGCGAGAGCGACTGAGGTACGAAATTGAGCAGGTGAACAAGCTGAACGCAAATACGTCCTTAGCTTTTCACCCCCCCCCCCCCCCCACAAAAAAATCACATCCCTGTGTTATATTAAGGTACAATTCTTGCATAGTGTGCCTTTAAAAAACAACTCTCTCGTCTTCTGTCCAAACATACCGCAACATCTTTAAAGAACGATCGACTTTTATGTACGTCAGGTGACCTGTAAATGCTCAAAAACTTTTTCCATTTCAGTTTAGCGAAATATTCCTTTTTAGAATTGCCTGAAAAAGCACCTCATGCGAGCGTAAAAACTGTTTTGCGATATATGTGAGTTTTTGCGAAATTGACGCGTTTCCATTCCATTTTAATTTGCGCTATTTGAAGGGCAATGGAAAAGTGGCAACACACACTCCAAATCCTCACCAGTGATGTTCCCTTCTGTTGGACATTTTTCCCATGGTAGAGTATACTGGAAAGAATTTCCCAAGTAAAAGATACTCCAACCGATGATGACGTTATAATACAGAGCTACAAAGAAACACACCTGGGAAATAAAAAGAGAGAAAAAAGAAAACCAATGAGCATTAAATTCAATAACTTGTGTATTTTGTGCAAGTCTGCTAATTATGTTCACAATTTCAGAGTTTTATTTTCTGCAAAGCATGTACCAGTGCAATCGGCCAATAACGCTAGAGATTACTCACCACACAGCTGGAGTAGCCAATGCCAACCAGTTTTGGAGAAATGTGTCTCCAGACGCCGATGCTGCCCTGTCTGATGCTCTGACCGGCCGCCAACTCCAGGAAAAACAACGGCACTCCAACCAGCGCCATCAACACCACATACAGCAAGATGAACGCTCCTGATACACATGACAATGTTTGAAACAAAACAATTATTAAAGTCCCCCTGTGGTGAAGATCCAGCTTTTAATGTAGTTTATATGTCTATGTGGTGTTTTTAATACGCTTTAAGGCAAACCATGTGTGAATTCATAAGTCGACAGCATTGCTGAGTATTTTCTCCTTAAAACTGCAGTCTGGATAATTTAGATCGGTCGTGGGCCCTGTGTCTCGTCTGGTTGCCCGTTGACGGCAACATTGCCCAGCAGCATTGCTCAAAAAGTTGCCCTGTGTATCATCACCTTTTCTGTTCACCTGAGAGAACCTGCCGAAGCCTCCCTCCACTGCTTGTTTGGGAGGGTTATTTGCTGGCTGACCAACACCCCACCCCTCCTGTGATCCATGGTTTGACTGTAGGCCTGTGTGTATTCAGAGCCACTGAGCAACGGACTTTCAAAATAATAATAAATAAAAAAAAACTGCGTTAATTAAAGCTGCTGTCCGTAGCTTTTTTTGGGTTAAAAATTATCCAAAATACATATTTGAGAAAATACATAACCAGCCAGTGTTCAAAACTATCCGCTTGCCTTAGCTCGATAGAAAACGGTAAGCTTGTAATAATGTTTTTAATTCCAGTGGTACTGGTGGATTTCCGCGGGAGATTCGAGCATGTCTTTGCGTCATTACGTCACATCTGTACACACACATCTGTACACACACATCTGCACACACACATAAAGAAGAGTCTCGGCTAGTATAAGCTATATTGCGTGTGAGGATGTTGGAGGTGGAGATTTATAGCCTTTTCTCACAGCACTTGATATAATTAAACTTATCAATTTGATGGCGGATCCAGAAAGGTTCAAACGACGATCACCAGTGACAACAGATTCACCCGCTGTAAAATGCAAAAGACTTCGTTCGGACTTCGGAGTGGCTACAGAAAACTCAGAACTAGAACAAAAGTGGATGTTACTCTTACTTGTTCAGATTACATTTTCCGGTGAAAATTATTATGTTGGTCATACTTCCAAAAAGAATAATCTGTGATTCTGAATGCCAGTATCCACACCGGCGGTGACTGACAGCCTCACACTCTCCTCAAACATTGTGTTCATCCGCGCTGTGCCATGTTGAGGGTGTCGAAGTACAACTCACGTAAAGTTGATAATTCCGCAAATGACTGCAAATGCAGGTTTCGAACAGAGATGGCGACAGAGAGGAAAAACTGCGGACTGCAGCTTTAATAAATGCGTTATGCCCAGCCCTAATTTAAATGTGTAATTTTGGTGATCAATGATGAGTTGTAAAGGGATAGTTCACTTTGAAATTAATTGTTGGTATGTTTTAGCTTACCTCAAGGGCATCCAAGATGTAGGTGTCTTTGTTTCCGCAGTAGTTTCAATTTTGATATTTTTAGGTCAAACCGTTCTTGTCTGTCAGTCATATAATGCAGGTCTATGGTCACCACCTCAAAGAGCATGCACAGAGAAGTCCAAATTAAACATGATTTAATGACTCGTAAATGTAAGTACACATTGATGGCCTAAGACACGAAACGAGCGGTTTGTGTGAGAAAACGAACAGTATTTATATAGTTTTTACAGCTTGCAAACACAGCCACGTCCAAGTGATCTGAGGGCGCGGGCGCTTCGGTCTTTTCCGGAAAGCGCCGGAAGTGATCTCTCGCGCATGTACGTCACTCATTGTTTACACAGAACAGAGATTGTATTATTAATAACAATTGTATGAGTGACGTACACGCGCGAGAGATCACTTCCGGCTGTTTAATTTGGACTTCTCTGTGCATGCTCTTTGAGGTGGTGACCATAGACCTGCATTATATGACTGACAGACAAGAACGGTTTGACCTAAAAATATCAAAATTGAAAATACTGTAGACACAAAGACACCTACATCTTGGATGCCCTTGAGGTAAGCTAAAACATATCAAAAATTAATTTCAAAGTGAACTATCCCTTTAAGGGATAAAATGATTGACTACAGGGGGACTTTAAATATAAGCCTGGATAGTCTTTGCATAATCAAACCCATCTCCTCCTCACTCACCTCCTCCGTTCTGATGGCAGAGGTACGGGAACCTCCACACGTTTCCCAATCCCACACTGAATCCGACCTGAGCGAGGAAATATTCCACTTTACTGTCCCAGCCGTCTCGGGCCGTTTCCAGCGTGACCGCCTGCTCGACCCCTGAGCCCAGATCAGCCTCGTCCCGCTGGCCGTCTCCAGGTAACGGGGGTTTCTCTGACGTCATCTGAGAGAGAAACAGAAGCTTGTTTTCATATTCAAATAAATCACACATAAAGCCACGGCGCTGCTTTGAAGACTGGACTTTGTTAGAAAATATGCTGCTATAAAAATCTATCTTATCTTGCCAATTCAGACATAAAACTGCTCCCTGTCAGACTGCTACTGAAGTTCACTTCTGCCCGAGTAATCAGTCCAAACAAACGATGGAGTAAAAACTACATGAGAAGTGTTGATGTGAATTGCGATTATCGGATATGGATTTTAAATCGGCGCAATTTGATTACAAAATGCAACGTGAAGCCAAAGCACTCAAGGTTCAATTGATTTTTTCATTTGCATTTTTACAAATATTTGTAGCTATTCAGGTTACTGTATAAAGGCAATTATGACATACAATGAAACAACAGCTTGATCTAAATTTATAGCATAAGTTCTTTCAAAATACAAATTACAACATACTACTGCATACTAATAATAAATGTACTATTGCTATCATCAACAAAAATTATAAAAAGACTAGTTTTAATAATAATGATAACATAATCAAGTGGTTTAGGATCCAAAACAGAACAGTAAAAAATGTAGAATAAAATGGACCTTAAAGAGATGAGCCCACTTTCAAAGTCAAAAACAGCCTAAATGCAAAAAAACTAATGTAAAATCATTACACTCTTCAATGTCAGGAAACCAATTTTAAAATTCCCTGACATTAACATCACCATGGTGAAGGTGTACAGGCGCATGCGCAGTTTCCAATCCTGACAGCAAGAAACAGTGTCTAACTGTCGCTTTAAAACCACTCTAAAACAAGTATTCAATTGAATATGTGCAAAAATAAGCTCTTTAGTGCAGTATGAATCAAAAACCAAACGCTGTTTGGAGATATCTAACACCGCAGAGCCAATAAAGCAGTTTAACCAGTCAAAGATCAGCCGGTGCATCTCATATGCAACTAAAATGAAATAATTATCAATATATGCGTCCATATTGGCATGTAAATCCATTAAACTTAGTATTAATGTCCTTCATGAATATATAGTAAATATATGCATTAATACAAACCTCTGCTGCTGCTCCGTCTTTGATTCTTTCGGGCTCTCACGCGCACGTGTTAATGAGTTATGGCGCGCGCTATTGTCACCGGCACACGCGTGCGGCTCAAATCCTCTGAAGAAATCACTTTACAGCTTCCCTAACCGAACCGTACACATACAAACTACATGAATAATGATTGACGTATCGAGGAACTAAGAACCACGCTAATTTTTGCCCGCGTTTTACTCTTCCGTAGTGGTTGTGGGCACTGGGCAGAGCCGTTGAGGTTGTGGGTTTACGGAACCTCAGGCAACGCCCATCCTCCGCGCGCGCTTCCGCCCATGTTTATAAGGCCCCGCCCACTTGAAGACGCTCGAGGCTTTAAGTTATAAAAATGTATTATAAAAAATCATAGTATTAATCGCGAAAGATTACAAAAGTACTTTAGTGTTAGGCTACTCTTAGTTCTTTTTATTTCGTTAGTTATTACTACACATTTATCCTATATCTTCTAATGCACACAACAAAGTTTCACTTTGTTTTTCCTTGCAACTCATCGTTTACCATCAGTCAGTATAGGCCTATTTCTAGAGTAATCATCTACATCTATAATAGCTAAATTATTTATTATATATTTTTATTATGGTTTTTCATATCCTGGACCGTGTGGCTCTGCGTTTCCTTCAGAAATGATGACTGATGCAATAAGTAAGAAAATTACACCAAGATTGAAAGAACCAACAGGTGGCGCTGTCAGGTCGTGACGCGCTTAACATATTATTTTACTGTCAAAGTGACCCAACTGACACAAAACTATTCTCATATGATGTAAAGAAGCCTTGCCAGGGTAAATAATAGCCTTAAATTATTTCAAATTATTCAAAAGACTCATTAGCAACATACAAACTACATAGATATTGTCTGACAATTTTTGACATTTTAAAACTGCGTTTGTCTGCTGTGTAAATTTCATACGATTTAATAAGTGAATCACAATAATCAACCATCTTTGTTATAACATACCATCTTGTGACTGATAATGTAGCAGATTCCTCTACGAGATCGTTGACCTCTGCAGATCAGACATTCAAACTAAAGAAATTATCCAAGACTTTTCAAATTCAGCTGAAATGTCAGGACCCAATGGATCAATAAAGCAATAAAAATAAGTCGGGACTAAACGATTCTTTACATTTTAAAGTACAGCTGCTGTTTCAGCCCAGTAGAGAAAGTTCATTCCTCCTCTGGGGTTTATTTTGCCACGTTGTTGAGTCCTTTCAGATTTCAGCTGTCAATCTCAAGTAAGAACCGCCCAACACCAGACCAAACCACCAAACACAGCCAGGCCCCGCCCAACACCAGACCAAACACAGCCAGGCCCCGCCCAACACCAGACCAAACACAGCCAGGCCCCGCCCACTATGCTGTGCTTCAGGACTCATGCACGGGACAGCATGGGGAAAACTGCACAGAGCTGGGCAGATATGACCTCAAAGCTAACAAACAGACGAAAAGCCTCAGACTAAAATTTCATTGACTATTTCAACTAAAGGGGATATATAGTAAAATAAGTTACTTTAAAAAAAAAAGTTACTTTAAAAAGTAATGCATTATAATGGTATACCACCATTTTGCGTCACTTCCTAAAAACATTGTGTTACTTTGTTACTTTTTATGGAAAGTAATGCATTATGTTACTTTTTCTCCTTTGCTTGGCTTGCTTGTTTGTTTTTAATAACTAAAAAAAGTTATATTTTTGGCAAATGTAAAGGCCCTTTCACACCAAAAGTGAAATGAATAAGCATCAGGCTGACGGAAAGGCAAATTCACGTCTGTACTAGACTAACCTTTCAGAAAGTTCAACACTACAGCAAATGTGATGTTCATCTAAAGTCATTTTTGCTTATATGGTTGAATTGGATCATCGAAGGTCAGCAGCAAAATACATTGCTTAATAAAGTGAGATTAAATTCGTAAGGGTATATTTCTGTATTACATAATGTAAACATATTTAATTATTGCAGGTTTGCCCAATAAGCTATTCTGAGTTTGCATTTAACTTTTTATTCATTTTGAGGAATACTGAATCTGTTTTTGTGCAAGTGAGATGAGTTAATGCATGACTACAATAACTGTAATGTTTATACATGATTTCTCTCAACATGGGCAAACAGAGTAACTTGCGTTACTTATTTGAAAAAGTAACTCAGATATGTGGCTGTAAATTTAAAAGTAATGTGCTACTTTACTAGCTGCTTGAAAAAAGAAACCTGATTACGTAACTCACGTTACTTGTAATGCATTACCCCAAACACTGGTAAAATGAGAATAAATGAGATAATGAATATAAGTTTAGAAATAAAGACGGGCCCGTCAGATCACTCACCTAAGACATTTTTTCCATCTCAGATAACCTTCATCTCCTCTGTGATCTCTGTGAGAGGAATGTCCGGGCGGTTAACACACTATCAAAATACATCTAGTTTTGAGAATACTAGTCAGAAGACACCCGTCTCAGCAGCAGGTGAGAATAAGAGCATTTTCCTGTATTATATTTGTTTAAAGGATATTACACATGGATGAAATGAGCAGACATGATTTGTTTGTGAAATTCTTCAATAGAAACAGGCACGTGTGTCTCATTTAAAAATGAAATTCTGTCATCATTTACTCATACACGCCTTCATACTTTCTTCCTCCTAGACATGTAAAAGGAGATGCTGTGAAAAATGTTCATGCTGCATATGTACTCACTTAAAGTTATCGATTTAGTGTTTATGCATTTAGTTTGAATATGAACATTCACAATTGATGGAGGGTGACATTTTTAGCAAATAGGATCTTCAATTTGGGTTCTTTAATCACATAACGCTGTCATTGGAATATTGCACTTTGGTTTTAAGGTGCTTTTTGTAAAAGAGCAGCTGGATGAACATCCAATCTTCTTATCTCCCCAATATCTCCTTTTGTGTTCCATGGAGGTTATACAGGTTTGGAATAACATGAGGGCGAGTAAATGATGACATGATATTAATCCTTGCCTGAACTGTTCCTTAAATGAGTCAGAGTTTCTGTTTATTTAATTTTTTTAATGTCTCAATACTTAAAGAGATGCTCATTGTATTCCATTAATTCCTCATAATAAAGCATCTGAGATACGCTCTGTGTGCATCGCTGTAAAAGTGAAGGCAAGTGCTCACTCAGTGAATGTATATTTGAAGCATGTAGGCAGACAGACAGGTCGAACAGGAGGAGAACGACAAGGAAGGTGTAAAACTGACACATTCTGAAGCTATTACTGAAACGTCAAAAGTCACATACATTTGAACACCGACGTCACATATGCACGTTTCATCTGATCACCTGTCTGAGTTTCCACAGGTGTGTGACAGTCGGTGGTCTTGATGGGGGAGCAATACCTGCTTACTGTGAGTGTCATCAAGGGTTGAGTAGTGTTTCCCTACAGTAGTCCTTCATGCAAAAATTGCCAGTCCAAGAATTTGAGCAACCATTCATGTCTTAGCTTAACATTAATGGTTTGTTCAAATCACTATTTTAAAGTGTGAGCAACAGCAATAGTAACTTGGCAAAGACCACTTAAACCCTCTTACCACTATTTAATTTAGCAGTTGCTCTTATCCAGATTGATATGACTTCGATGAAATGAGGTGAACAGATGGCAAACATGCCCTTCAGTGAGTTATTATGCTGGCTAAAGACAAGCCAGATAAACCAATACAAATATGCACTACCTAATAGGAAGGAACAAGTCAATGCAAGACTTTTTCTATGGTTGTTTAAACTTCTTGAGTCGTGAGTCACACCTATAATTCGAGAGGTTGTTTTTACATGCATTTGAAGTGGATTCTTTCATATGGGTGTACAGACAGTAAGTGCTTAATGTTTTTATAGGGGAAACAGGGTGTGTATAGTAGGTATTTCAAGTCAGCATGAAATCAGAATTGACTCTTTTTGTGCAAAAATTCAATCACAGCCCCTTTCACTTCATTTCAACATTTTCCCATTGAATATCCAGTTTTGGTCAGAAATGCATCATATTACTAGCCTGGTTAAAACCAGACCATTCTCAGTTGTAACTGAGTTATGATCTGGCAAAGCGTCATAGACAAATCATTTCCAGAGGGGCGTCACCAACGGACGTCGCGGATAGACCTAAACCCAATCAGGGCGATGAAGGAGATGACGTATGCAGAGCGAGTGTTGTTCTTTGCTCGGTTTTTAACTGAAAGGAAACGTTCAAATCGCTTAAAACAGACGCGATAGCTGAGTGATGTTCGACGGCGGCATCCATCTTTGTAATGTAGGCTACAAAATCTGCTTCAAAATCCCAGCGCTGTCGTCATCGTGTAAAGCCCGCCCCAACGTTTCTGATTGGTGCCGCGATTTCGGCGGATTGGAAATGGGCTTGAATGAGCTCTTTGCCAGACTAACTTTCAGAGCAAATCTAATTTTGCCGGAAGTTGTCTGGGTTTTCCCAGGCTATCATATTACAGAAATAAAATGCAGTTTCATGTTGACTTAAATGTGCTATTTATGTGCATAATGGAATGCTGAGAATTCCAGAAAAGTCAATTATCAGTTAAAGCTAATTATCGATAATTAAAGCAATTTAACAACTAGGAAAGTTGTAGGTGATTCATGCGTGCTGCTGCGTTGCCATGTTTTATGTTGATCTTTTTTACAGCCTGATATCAGTGATGCTAATGTTTTGTTCTTCCTCTATTTTGAATCCAGCGGCTGGTGAGTTTTCCTCTGGGAGATGAGGGTGTGGATACCGTTGAAGAGGCTCTTTCACAGATTGCACTTCTTGTTGATTCTCATCGGCTGTCCAGTGCCGAGGTGATGCTAGAGGTCCAGACCAACAAAGTCATCCTGAGAGACAGACACAACCAGGTAAGAATGCAACGCGGAACAGAGCAACTGCATGCAAACTGATGGCAAAGAACGCAAAAGAAAGAAACAAGGATGGTCCAAAAGTCTTTAGGGCTTTAGTTCTGCATGCATTTATCATATGCAACAGATAATATGTATTAACTTGAATGGAATGCGATGCAAGTCTCTTTGGGTAAAAGTATCTGCCAAATGCATAAATGTAAAATGTTCTTGCAAATCCACAAAAAAACACCAGCTGGATTAAAAGACTGAGATTTCAAAAATGAGATGCACATATAGACATATATTGAGTGTCACTCAATAGCCGGTCATTGAATATTTGTGAAGCATTGCACATTGTACAGACTATTTTTTTAGTTGCAACTAATGATGAATGTGTTGATTGTTCCATGACTGACCATTGATGAGGAACTGGAGGAGTTTGCCATGCCATCTCTCCTCCGCTGTGACTGCATAAATTCCCCATCTCTCCGTGATCCAGCTCTTCTCCTGCTGGTGTGTCAGAGCTGCACCCAGAAGAGGCCGAGTGTGTATTTCTTCAGCTGTGCGTCTGTCAAAGTGAGACATGTTTCATTGCAGCAGTCGATCCTTGATTCAGGTGATACTGTCGTGTTGCTCCACCTCTATGATGACATCACTGCTACCTGTTTGCACATTTCAGGCAGAGCACATAAGAGATGACATCAAGCGAGTTGTGTCGCATTACTCAATAAGAGCAAACAGGTACGGATCTTTACAGTCGGGCGATGTTGTCATTCCACTGTGTTCACAACCAAGACAGAGAGACGAGAACCTGTTATCGAGCAGATAAACCGGTTTAACCAGTTTCTACATAGCTTACGAAGGTGTGACTGAGAGTACAGGGAGGGAGGCAGAGACAGAGTTTCCAAGGGGAATAAAGATTCATTCGACCTCGGCTGTTCTTTAGGACTAAACACTTACAACCAGGACTGCAGTCAGGTACAGTGTGTTATCTTTATCTGCTCTACGTGCGCTTATCAGTTTCAGAGAATGAGATCGAATCTGTGTGTGTGTGTGTTTCACAGCGAGAGACATGTTGAACTAACCTCAAGGCATCTCAATGTCAAACTGAATGCCAAACACATTTTCTAGTATTATTTATGAATCGGTGTGTGTTGGTTAACCTAGACTTTGTGCACAGAATTGTCACTATAAGTGAGCGAAATCTGATTTAAAAAAAATGTCTTTTATTTTAAAAATGCAAAAGGTTTTCTTTTAGGGTTTGGGTTACTGTGTAATCAATAGAACTATCTTCATAGAAAAACAATTGAAGACTATGGTACGTCATCATTTAATGTACAGCACTTTACTCTGCTTTGTAGTTTTTAAAATACATTTGACTAACTCATTTTCATAGCTTCATAGCATAAAAATAGTGTTTAATTAAGTCTTTATTTAAAAGATAATGTCTTATTTAGAAGATAAAAAGCTTTTTGCCATGTGTGTGTTTATGTGGGCGCTATTATTGTTATATAACTCCAAAGATGTTTGATGTGATTGTTGGTGACTCATTATCATTGTGTGTCGGCAATTAAACCACATTTCAATTGACGCACATCAATAGCGACTGAAATACTGTACTTTTTTCGCTAGACTACAACACGCACTGTCCTTCTGGATAAAGGGTGTTGTCATGTGAATGTGTTTGTTTCAGGTTCTCTCAGTCCCGTATGGATATTCCAAGCCCTCCATACACACAAGCCCCAAATCCACCCTCATCCAATCCCCCTCCACCGTACCCGGGCATCAGAGGTGTGTGTGAATCGACACTATCTATATTTTTTATTAGAAACAGACACAGACTAACACAATCTAATTTCTAGCTAACGGACAAGCAAACGGTCAACCTGATAAGTCATTCCTAAAGGCTCAGATGGAAGTGGTGAGTACATATAAACACACACACACACACACACACACACACACACACACACACACAAACACACTACCAGTGAAAATTTCGGAAAAAATAAACAAAACAAAAAAGAGAGAAGAAGTGTCTTATGCTCATCAAGGCTGCATTTATTTGATCAAAAATACAGTTACAAATTTGAAAAATTTAAATAAAATGTTTTTTTTTTTTATGTGAATATATTGTAAAATGTCATTTATTTATCAAAGCTGAATTTTTAGCATCATTACTCCAGTCTTCAGTGTCACATGATCCTTCAGAAATCACTCTAATATGCTGATTTGCTGCTCAAGAAACATTTATTATTATTATTATCAATGTGCTGCTTAATATTTGTCTGGAAAGCGTGATAAAGCATGACTGAATTAGCATGTACTGTTCAGTTAGTTTAGAAGGCCGTTGACCTCGGACGCTGTAGTCAACCTTCAGTTTGACCATTAGCATGACCAACAACGCCACACTGATATCACTGTTTACACTAACAACAGTTACAAAGATCAAGAAGAACCAAATGAAAAAACTCTGCATGTCTTTTTGTTATTAACCGCCTCTCGCTCTCTATTTCTAGGATGTGCTTAATCATTGTTTTGATGACATCGAACTGTTCATCGGAAAGCTGCAGCAGTCAGCAGAGGCTCAGATTATCCTCGACCAGAGAAGCAAAAAGAAGAAGAAAAGTCAGAAGAAAAGTGCAGACGGTACGAGTCTATAAGAAGGAGAAATTAAACCTGAATGCTTATCAAAAGAAAGCAAAAAATCATGTGAAGTGATCCATAAGTGAACTGAACAGTCTGTGAAGAGCCTACTGTAGTGCGCTGTTATCAGCAGATGCAGGTTTGTTATCAGTTCCTGATGGGAAAGCGTTGTGTTAAGAGCCGTCAGCAGTGCTCACTCTTCACACTGAACACTGACATATTCTCAATCAGAACAATGTACCTGCATCATCTTAAACAAACCAGAATGTACTTGGAAATCTTCTCTTACATGTTTCCTTTTATTTAGTTAATAGCGCACAGTTTCAGAGAGTTTGTTGTGTGTTTGTGTTTTACAGAGGATCTTCTCACGGCTAAAGCCAAACCGCCTTCTGAGAAAGAGTTTGCTGACGGTTTTCAGAAATTCAAATACATCTTCAGCCTGCTGGTGAGTCATGAATTTTAATGTCAATATAAAATAATAAGTTCAGAATATCTTTTGCAGTGTAAATGAATGAATTAATTATAAAAGAATTCATTTTTATTATATATTTGAATGATTTTAAATTATGATTAAATGAATAATTTATTCATTTAATATTTAGTATTTAATTATTCCTAATAATAATTTATATTAAAAAAAATTATATTTAGCATGGAAAATGCTATTTACATCTCTAAAATCCTTTTTTCTTTTATTTTTTATATGTATTACAAATATGATTTATTATTATTATTGATTTCTTATCTAAAAAAGCATTAAATAAAATTGAAAATTATATATATAATATATATACACACACACACACACACGTATACTAGGTTTATTATTTTAATTTTATATTTACATTATTAAAATTATGAATGTAATAATTAACATTTATTTATTGCTATTTGAAGAGCTTAATTCTTGAGAAACTGCCGGATATGAAGCTGCAGGTCATACGGTGGCATATTTCTCTGTCAGGTTTCAGTAAGTTTGTTTTACAGGCACGGTTAAAATCGGTCATCACCAACCCGACGTCCGAGGAGCTCGTGCATCACGTCTTCAAACCGCTCGACATGGTGAGTAAAGAAGGCTGACTGTGTGCGTGTGCATTTAGATGTTTGCACATATTTCTCTTGAGCAAACGGCAGAGCTTTTAAGGCCTTTGTTGCACTGTATTGTTTCAAGTGTTTCATCAAAAGGGCTTGTGCGCTATTGTTTGGAGAACGGTCGCAGTAAAGTGCACTCAAATAGAGTAATTCACCTTCGTTTGTGTGCCTGTAGATCGTGAGGGCAACAGGAGGTCCTGGTTTTGCTGCGTCCGTGTCCAGCCCAGCGATGACACAAGGAGCCGTGGCTCTGCTACAGAACAGCCTGACGGCACAGGAGAATGCATTATGGGTCTCTTTAGGGCCTAACTGGACACACCCAAAGTACATTATGCAGAATTTTAAAAAAAATTGGAGATCTGTCCCTTTAATGTGTGGTGTGCCCATGCTGATGTCTGGTTGACTTCATGTAGGTCTGCTCTGCGGAGTCCCGTGGCGCCGTACACACTCGTGTTTCAGGACGGCTGGAAGCCTCCGGGGTCAGACGTCGCCGGCTGGGTCGATCCTGTGGAGTCAGAACACAAACAGGACGCGGAGCTCCCAAAAGTAGAGGTAATGTATTATTTACGTCCGATGTGTATTATTGTGTCCAATAATGTACAAAAGTTTGGGGTCGGTTCGATTTTTTTTTACGTTTCTGCTCACCAAGGCTGCATTTATCTGATCAAAAATACAGTAGAAATGTGAAATATTATTACAATTTTAAATAAAAGCTTTCTATTGTTATATATTTTCAAATGTAATTTATTCCTGTGATCAAAGCTGCATTTTCAGCATCATTACTCCAGTCTTCAGTGTCACATGACATGATCCTTCAGAAATCATTCTAATATGATGATATCTTTACTGTCACTTTTGATCAATTTAATGCATTCTTCCTGATTAAAATATTTTAAATATAAAAAATAAAAAAATCATATTAACCCCAAACTGTTGAATGGTAATATACATGCTGGATAGGCTACAGTCTCTTTAAATAAAAATTTAATTACACTTTCATTTATTTATAATTCATTTATGCTAACCAAACAGTCAGATGGTGAGATAGAATTTAAAAACATAATTAACCATGAAGAAGAAAAAAAAAACAATAAATGTGATTTCCTTGTCCATCATTGTGAGTTTGTTATTTTGCTTACATGTTGAATTGTCTCTGTCACACCCAGCTGACGCCGTCTCACGCTTCGGACCGTCACACCGCTCCCGCTCAGACTACAGACGAACTGTAAGTTTGATTCACATCTGAAGAATCATCCGACAAACAAACACACAGACACATACATTAATACTTATATCATTCGGTTATAGAATGTGACCAATCAGGGATCAGCTTCACCTTTCAGCTGATCATCAGACATGTGACAGGAAACTGTAGCTCTGTAAACAGTCAATCACATTAAGATCAATTTCAATGTAAGGATCAATATAAGCCAGGGTTTGTTTACACAAATAACAAAAGACTAACTTACAAAAGTTCATTTGTGGTGTCGACTCTCAGGAGTTTCACTTCAGTGTGAATGAAGTATAATGGCTTCAGTGTGAAACACTCCTTCATTCAGTCATTGTCTATTGTCTCTGCTCTTAAATGACTCAGAGTTTCTGTCCTTTTTTATCTCGGTAATGAAAGGTTTTTCATGTACATTCAGTGTAAACATCTCTGTCTCTCTTCCTCAGTGATGGCGATGGGAAAGAGCGCTTGTATCGATGCAGTTATGATTTTGTTGCACGGAACAACAGTGAGCTGTCCGTACTTCAAGGAGAGACGCTAGAGGTCGTCAGTGATGTCTGTTCTTCTATATGAAGCTAATTATAATACTATATACCAACACAATCCCTATCCTAAAGAAAACATTTAGCTTTTTGTTTTTGTTATTATTATTATTTGAGACATCTGGGGATTTTTATTTTATATATACAGTAGTACATTTATTTATTTTATTCTAAATATACATTTATTTCATGTAAGACTTGCCAAATAAAGACATCCTCACATATATATATATATGAAGAGTTCAGATGCAAAAGCCTCTAAGTGCCATTTGAAATTTTCTTCTAGAATGATCATTTTTATGAAGCTTGTATATTTAAGTTCAGTAATTTCACTCAAATGACAATTAATAGGTAATCTTCATTGCCATTGAAGTGAAATTACTGAACTTAAATATACAAGCTTGATAAAAATGATCATTCTAGAAGAAAATTTCAAATGGCACTTAGAGGCTTTTGCATCTGAACTCTTCATATATATATATATATATATATATATATTCGGCAAGTCATGCATGAAGATATATGCACACACATATATATATATATATATATATAAAATAATAAATAAATATATAATCTATTTCTGGGGATTTATTCATGTACATTTATTCATATATATCTATTTATTTCATGCATGACTTGCCAAATAAAGATATCCTCATATATAATTTTATAATAATAATGGTAAAACTTTACAATAAGGTTAATTTATTAAACATTAGTTAATGTATTAACTAACATAAACTAACCATGAGCAATCCATTTGTTACTGTATTTGTTAATCGTTGTTGACGTTAGTTAATACAAATCCAGCTGTTCATTGTTTGTTCATGTTAGTTCACAGTGCATTAACTAATGTTAACAAGATTTTAATAAAGTATTAGTAAATGTTGAAATTAACATTAACAAATGCTGAAGAAGTATTGTTCTTTCTTAGTTAATGTTAACTAATATAGTTAACTAATGAACCTTATTGTAAAGTGTTACCATAATAATATATTTGATATATTGTTTATTTGTTTATGGAGACATCTGGGATTTTTATACATTTATTCATGTAGACTGCTTATTCATGTTTTATTTATTTATTTTATTTCATGGATGACTTTGTATTTCAAGCATAACTCCCCATTATACATACATATACATACATCACATCTAAGTATTATAATAATACAAATAATCCCTTATTTTCCTGTTTTTCTCTGTCATACAGGTGATTGAGTCATCTAAGCGATGGTGGAAGTGCCGTAATAAGTTTAATGAAGTTGGATTCGTGCCGTTTAACATCCTGGAGCCGGTCACACACATCGACAACCCTATGCTGCATAAAACACCAAAGGTACAAACTCACACCGGTCACTTCAAAACATCTCTCTTCTTCTCCTCGCTCTGACATTCACGTCTCTGTTTCAGCCTCCTGCGGCTCCACCGATATCCAACGCCCTTCCCAGCCCGTCCGCCATGACCTCTGACCCCAGACCCCCTCGGCCTCGCAGCATGATTCACGGGACGCTGCCTGAGGACACAGAGAAAGGTATAAACACACGAGTAACAGGTGACCTCAGGCTGAGCAACCTAGACTTTAATATCTCAAGTTTCTTCTAGACAGCGTTGAGACTGAAAGGCTCCTGCTTCTCAAACCAGTGTTGGTATTGTTAACTAAAAGACATTTCACAGATCTTCTATTTCTATAAACATACAGCTTTCAGGACTACTTGATTCTGGTTCTAAAAATCATATCAGTGAACAACAACTGCTGGAAACACCGTGGCAAAATCGCTTTGAGTATTTGAAAGAAAGCTGAACTAAAATTAAATAGATTAAATTAGGTTGAAGGTTTTAAATAAAAAAATTTAAAACAGAAATATTGCCTTTTAAGCTGAAGTACTGAAATTACTAAAATTGAAATAAAAATAGGCTAAATGAAAGCTAAATAGGTTTTTAAAATAAATATTACAATAGCACATAAAACTTAAACTAAATTTAAAATGAGAGTATTAAATCGGTGTTATTTTAGCAACACTGATATAGTATTATAGTTTCTGTTAATAGTTTGAATTAGAATATTTTAATTTGAAAGTTTTAGTAAGTTTGTTGTATGTTCTTATCATTTATTTATTTATTTAAAATCTCTATATAGCTTTAATTGAGTTTTAGTTTTAGTCAATTTAGTACTTCAACTTAAACAAAAATAAGAAATGTTACCTTGGCAAATAGCTGATTATTTGATTTATTTCACGTAATACAATGTTTTTTATGGTTTGAGTTAACAATAATAACGCTGCTAAGAAATATTAATTCCAAAATATAATTCTAAATAGGCCATGAGACAGGACCCCAAATTTGGGCTACCGGTACCATTTTGAGGGATTAAATTTCTTTTTGATTTTCATGAAGGTACACATCTCTAGTGTTGGAAAATGTGTGATAGCATCCGATCCATGGTAGCTTTCATTAGAAATCAACACTTATATCATCCTACCTCAAGGTAAGGTGTTCAGTGACTACAAGAGAGAAAAATGTATCCTTTTATAATTTTAAAAATGTATTAAAAAATTGTATTATTTTTTTATAATAAAAATGGATAAAATTTTATAAAATTTGTATAAAATTTATTTAAAGATAAATTCATTTATCCTTTTTCTTGACATATGTTTGAAAATCGTCCTCCGTAACCAAAAACTACCTTGAATCTAATGCTATCACACATTTTTCAAATACAGGGTCATATACCTACACAAAAATCACCATGCGGTTTAATCCCTCAAAATGGTACCAATCAACCCTCTGTCTCACGGCCTAAAACATGAATAAATACTATAACAGTGTATGATGCTTACGGTGTCCTTGTGCTCACACTGATCAGCGATGCAGGTGAATGATGAGTTACTGCACCGCTTGACCAGCGGGAAGAACCTGTCTCCTCGACTGACGATTCCCCGCTCGACGGACACGTCTGCGCCGCTGGACTACAGCTCACCGCCGGCAGAGGTGGAGAACTGGCTGCAGAAGAAAGGCTTCAGTGAACCGTGAGTCAGGAAACACATTACCACAGCAATCAGTGAACTATTAACAACAGCAATCAGCCTGTAACACCTCATCCCTGAAGACGATGGGAAAAAACAGACCCCACGTTCATTTAGTATGATTTTATATTAAAACTATAGTGTTTTGCCTATGCATTTATGTTGTATTTGGTTATTTGTGTGAACAACAAACCCTAATTTGTCCGAAATGTGATTGACTGTCTATAGAGCAACAATTTTCTGTCACATGAAAAGTGAAGCTGATCCCTGATTGGTCACATTCTATAGACTTATGATATAAGTATTAATGCATATGTCTATGCTGGGTTGTTTTAACCCATCTTTGGGTCAAATATGGACAAACTCAGCCATTGGGTTAAATGTTTAAATTACATTTTTAACCCAACATTTGGGTTTGTCCATATTTGACCCAAATTTGGGTTAAAACAACCCAGCATTTTTTTTATTTATTTTTTGAGTGTATATTTGGGATTTTTGTAAGAGATCCATCTCCTCTTTACTAGTTCAAGGGTTCTCAACTGTGCACCTAAATGTCTACTTTCCTGCAGAGTTTAGCTCCAACCCTGATCAAACACACCTGAACAAGATCATCTGGTTTTCAGGATTATTAGATAGTTACAATCAGGTGAGTTTGATCAAGGTTGAAGCTAAACTCTGCATGGAAGCGGCCAGAGCTGAGAAACCCTTTACTAGTTGAATCCATATTTATGTCATCAGAGCAGCTAGTAGTCTCTGTTTTGAGGTGTTCTGTATAATGGTTGAGTTGAGTCACTGAAGGGCTGTTGTTGGTGTGTGTGTGCAGGACTGTACAGTGTCTGCGGGTTCTGAATGGAGCTCAGCTGTTCTCTCTGAATAAAGAAGAGCTGCGAGCTGTTATCCCTGAGGAGGGCGCTAGAGTCTACAGTCAGCTGACCGTACAGAGAGCCCAGATAGAGGTACGTCAAACACGCATCTACTTCATCTGGTATCATACGCTTCTGTGGTTTTATATCAAGCTACATATAACGGTTACGGAATAATTCAAACTCTACTTCTAAATTTAGAATGCTTTTAAATAACAACATTCTATGTTTACATTCAAATGTTCTAAAAGCTCTCAACACAAAATCCACTCACTCCTGATGTACAGCATCATTTTGGTCTATTACAATAAAAAGAATTGGTACTGAATTAAAGCCTTTGAATTCAAAGTGAAAACATTGGCACCAATACTTTATAATTGATATTCATCAATGCAATTTTTGAAAATCTGTTTGGTGCCACTCCTTTTGCAGAAATCACAGTATTAAATATTTCTTTAATTTTCTGTATATTGCAGTCAAGATCATTTAAAATAAACAGTTGCCAGTATGTACTGCACAGTGTGAAGTATTGGCTCAGCATGCATGAGGACCCAGATAAATATCCTAACTTAATATGCAATAATCAACCTAATTGAGAAGCATTAAACACACTGTGTGTCTCTCTCAGGATGCTCACAGAGCCACAGAACTGGAGACGGTGATGGAGAAGCAGAAGATGAAGGTGGATTTGAAACTGGAGAGTGGAACTTTATGAAGATCTATTGAATGAGCACATAGACTAGTGTTCAAATACACACTCTCTGTCTGTGTGATGTAACGTTATACGTATGAGCCTACTTGCACAGGATCATTTACGTTATTGTAACCTGCTTTATTTTCCCGTTTAGCTTTACGGCATGAAATCTCCACAATGATGTCTAACATTTAAATTGTCTGTGTAATATGGGTTAATAATATATTCTCAATAAATACATTTAATGCACAAAGTAGCAAATCCTCTTTCTCCCCAAGAGGGCGGCAGACACCAGTCTGTGCAAAACTAACTTTTGTCTTGTCCACAGTGATACAGCGGATATATGGATCAACTCTTCTAGGACTTGAACCTGCACCCTTTGGGTTACCAGAACTAAAATCCACTAATAGAAACGTAATACAACAAAAAGAGTTTAGTAATAATCAATGTACTAAAGGTCCATCAATCTTAACATGCACTTTAACAAGAACAGTAACAGTGATGCTTAATAAGCAAATACCACTAATTATGAAATTAATACTTACGAACCTAACTAGTTTATATGGGCACTTTTAGAAATAATTCAAAGTTGTGGTGTTACTTGCGTTGTTCTGGAACTTCATGTAGAAATGCAAATATTGCTCCATTGCTTAGTCAGCTATAGCTACTACAAATTTACATTCATCCGCTTAGTTGCAATAACTTTAAGAACGAAAATACTCGAGTGGAATAATTATAAATCTCTAATCTAAACGCAGTCTTCAACCAAATCAGTTCACATGAACTAGTAGCCTATCTGCTGTTGTAACCACTCAAAAGTATTAGTATCCCAATGTGAAGGGTACCTTACTCTTTAGGATGTATACAATCTTGCCTATTCCCACATTGAACACACACAAAGATTTAATATGGTGCGTGTGTGTCGACAGCTGCTCGGGTGTCGTGTCAGGTGAGGTGAGGAATGTGTGTTTGTATGTTTGATTAAGACAGCTGCAGAGTTTATGCACGAGATTTATTAGCTAATTAAACCCACATTATGATTTCACACACACTGAACCTGTACAAACATGAGTTTGATGCTTTAGGCCCGAAACACTTCACGAGAGTGGGTTGTAGATGTACCTGGAGACGAGAGAGCGGTCCGTTAGCATTCGGTCATCATCGATGGCTTACTAACTGATGATGGGCGCTTTCGAAGCTTCGAAACATTTGCGAATCTTTTGTTTCGAATCGGTGGTTCGGAGCTTGTTACGTCATACTGATTCGAACCTTGATTTCGAAACATTTAAAAACAAAAATCTGATAAAGCCATGTAGTTTAATACTTGCATGAAACAGAAAAGGAGAATGACTACGCCCTGTCTTATAAAACACAAAACAAGCACTATACATTAATAAAATAACATACATTTTATAGAACTAAATATAGTATTTATTTATTTGTAGATAGACTTTCATGAAAACATTTGCTATTTTTTTGTAAAAGGTGTCAATATACATGTTTGGACTGATTTCCGCTTGACCAGCAGGTGTCGCCAGCCTGTGGCGTGTCGAACGCTTCGAAAGAGTGAAACAATTAGCAAAGCAATTAGTTCAATTGATTCAGTTTAGAAAAGCTGCCTTTCTCCAATCACTTTAAGGTGTCGTTACAACATTTACCTGCATCTAACCATTCTGCGTCTAAATCTAACCATCCTAAGTACTTTAACTTGGATTTCACATTTTCATTTTGTTCCTTTCTGAAAAAAAAATAGTTTACAGCATGATTCAGAACTCATAATGAAATGCAAGGGAACCTGAGTGCAAACATTTAGACAGTTTGACATGCCCAG